CGAACATTTTGGCGGATGGAAAGAATAGCATGGAGCAGGACCCTAACCACAACAGTGAGGATGACGCGTTTATTGAGCATATTTGCAAACAGCACTTCATAAAACCTATGGCGTACTGATGATCAGCAACGACCGTTAAGCAGCTGCCTACTTCTGGCTTTTTGCATTCTACCTGAACTGCCTATGCATCGATAAACAATTTCGGGCCTGTACATAAAAAGTTGTGTCACCGTCAATTATGCCCATGTTGTGCACTTGGTAATTTCTTGTAATGCTTACATTAAAATGCATACATATTTATTTATTAGGGCTTTGGCGGATTTCAATAATTCCACTGAGCCAATTGTGAAAAACTCGCGGCCTCGGTGAGAGTCGAACCTAAACAGCAATAGTAGAGCGTTGGCTGCGCAAAAGCCTTCCTTGCCGTGTGGGTTCGACTCCCTGCGAGGCCGCAAAATTTTCACAATTGGAGATATATATTTATGCACAGAGGAATAACTATATACTGGCTGGCTGATACCACAGTTTCCTGTCAGAATACGAGTGCGGTCTATACGAGTGTGAGATGGGCGTAACTGCAGCCCCCTTTTAAGACGACTTATTTGCACCTAATCCCACAGAAAAGGTTCTTCAATGTCCCCCCAGCTAAAGCCCATTCCTCTTCAACGAATTAGGACCGGGATTGCATCGCTTTTACCTGTTTCTTGCAAGATGCGAAAGTGTATCACATACAGTACTCACTTACGGACTCACGCACGCATGCACCCAGCCCCCCACCCACTTATTTGCCCCTAGAGATCGGCTAATCACCGGGGGTAACTGAATGCAACAATCGTGCAACTTGCCTCATTCTCAGGCCTGCTCGAATTCCTCATGAGACGCTTTATGAGTACGCGCTGCAGCTTTAATGCAGGTTCCGATAGCGTCTCTTAGTCTACTTATGCATTGGTACAAAATGCGGTTCTGACCAATCATACTCAACTAGGTGACAATGCAAGATATGTTGAGAGCGTAACACGTTGTCAAACCGGCCTGACATGTTACGATTCATTTAGATGGCTAGGGGCAGCAAACAGCCAGAAAGTAACGAGGGCGTGGTCGAGGTGGTCTAACTTACCGGGAGCAGGAGGCAAATTTTCGCCGGACGATGTTGAGCTAGAAGTTGTTATATTTGGTTTTGATACTTTGAAGGCCTGTTCCTTGTCGTTAGTCCGAGATCTAGTGCCGGTGTCCGGTGTTTTTGTGGATTTTGGATGTTTCAACCGGATCCTATGGGCCTCGATGGAATCGACTATCTACGATTCGAAAGCAAAGAGGAATGCAAATATGTATTTTAGATATAAATAAGACACCTTAGACTCCATTAGAAGTGTTGGGACAAACACTATAGGATGAGGAATAGATAACAGATATCGGAAAATTTATTCTCTGTGTGCCTCACAAGGGAAGATTTATTACTTTATAAAGTAATAAAATCAGCGAATAGTTCAAGGGTACAAAAAGGATCAAAAAATGATGTCGATTATCGAAACAAAATCAAATGCCTCTACTTCGACGTTTTACCAGAAAAATGGGTGTGATAAGGTAAATTGCAAATAAATCTAGACACTAATTCGAAAAGGATAAACTTCATTTACTTTGGAGATCGATACTTGTAAGTGATTTATAAAAACGATCAAATATGAAGCACGTGTCAGCAATTACTCCTACGACATTGTTAATTATCACCCAAAGAGGCAAAGTCAAAGAGAAGTATGTTTGACATCTAGAAAAACTGCCTTATTTTTTACGTATTGGCAAAAAGAAACTCAAAGTCTACTTCCAACTTATAGACCAACATGATAGAATATTAGATTCAAGTTGGGCATTCACAGACCTCCTAGTCAACTAATCTAGAGTTCTTTAAATTATCCTCAAACGAATTTTTTGCTTTGCTGCCCATTTTCCCTGCCTAGGCCGAACAGAAGAATTCTGAAAGAACTACTGCAAAAAGAGCTTGCGTAATTATTCATTAAACCATTGAATTGGACCAGTTTATAGGGATTTAATTTACATCAACCGAGGACTAAGCGCTAAACTAACTGATTTGACGGCAAGATTAAATTGAGGCCTTTCAGGCCTTTGAACTTCCCACAAGCATTTGCATAATGATTAGTAGTTAATTGTCGCTTTCGTCAAGGCCTGGATCACGTAGAGTTTAATAACAAACCCGTGTGTTTTACGCGTAGGCTCTTAACATCATTATGTAATTACACGTGCAATACACTTACCAGCATTGTGCTCCCTGAAACGAGCCACATGACAGATGCGGTGGACCAATGAGGGGGTCAAATAAGGGTACGGTAGGCGTTATTGGGGTTGCCATCTGGTAGCAAATGCCGAAAAAGGGGCCATGGTGGCACTTATAGGGTCAGCTTCGGCCGCGCCAGCCACCTGCGCCCGATCCCACTTCCGGTCTTCTGTCTCGATACCCGCAAGTGTTGGGCGAGGGAAGAGAACGTGCAGTAGACGCTGCATGAGTCTACTGTCACTTAAAACTAATTCACGCTCATGTCAACGCGTTTGCCTTCAGCTTTCTGAAGCACGCGTTGGACGTCGTCAAAACCAATGGTTAAACTTAGCAGTACTAGTTCAAAAGACTAGTACAAATGCTTAGAATAATGTAAAACCCATTGGGACAAATGTATATCATTTAATGGACAGCATTTGGACAGGGCAGATGTTTATAGAAGATTATCTTAAATAACATGATTTAATTCTTGTATTTTGCATACGCCCGGTAGTCTTTACTTTATTTTGCAGTCGTTATATGGTGAGTATGAAACAGGGAGTGAGACCGATACAACAACAGTTAGGTTCACTACTAACAGTAAGGTGTCTTGTCGCTTGAGACCATTGCACCGTCTATGCATCCTTGGGGACTAAACCCAGACGCACACTTTCACTCTGTGGAGAGACATAATGCGGGATGTCTAATGACAAGCGTAAAGAGTGCCAGGGTAGTCGATGCGACCTTTAATAACGAGTGATGAAGGTGAGGTCAGGTCAGAATTACAACCTGTTGTAGCCAGACATTTGATTAAACTCTCAAGCTGTCAAAGCATTTACTCTCTCTCCTTGGTAGCCAACATATACTCCGCAACAGTATTCGATGAAGGACCGATTTTGTCCCCAAAGCTAATTCTCAGCAGACGCTTATAGCAGAAAAATCGATTGAATATGCTCTCTACCGG